GAAGACACAAAAACAAATGCAGATGTACTCAGCTACCTCATCTTCGACAAAGGAGCTCACCATCCTCAGTGGAGGAAAGATAGCCTCTTTAATAAATGGTGTTGGAAAAACTGGATATCAACCTGTCACAGATTAAAATTAGACCCTTATCTTTCGCCATGCACTAAATTAAAATCCAAATGGATTAAAGATCTAAATATTAAAACAGAAACATTAAACTTGCTGGAAAGTAAGTTAGGCAGAACTCTGGCAGACATTGGTATAGGAAAAGACTTTATGAACAAATCCTCAGTAGCACGGGAACTAGCAGAAAGAATCAACAACTGGGATCTCATCTTACTAAAAAGCTTCTGTACCTGCAAATAAATTCTAATCACTGAAGTTCATCGCTTTGATTGAGATATTAGATTATCATCAGGTCCATACTTTTTCCTACTTACCTTCTCTGAGATCTTTGGTAGTCACACACTAATTCAAATGAATCACTCCAGATTTAAGTGCAAAATGAGTTTGGCAATAGCTACAAGCTTCTGGATTTATGAAGATGCTTCACTATGATGCTCTCCAGTGGGCCTAACTTTATAACTCATATCAGTCATCATGAGTCATGCTTGTCAGTGTGAGCCACTCAGACCCTGCATGAATAATCAGCGTTATGCACATTAGGGAGGTCAAGTTGTGAAAGTTAACGCGATTGATACTGTCATCCTCATGAAAGCAGTGAGGTTCTTACAACTATTCTTGGAGGAGACAGGGAGAGTATTTCCTGCTCAGATAGTTAAAATTATCCTCTTATGAATAAATGACAAAGTTTTGAGTCTATACATTAAGCTGGGAATGAAACGTACTGGTAAATACTTCAGGATTGATTTCAAGGTCACTTCACTAAAACAGATTTCCCAGGGGAATAAAATGTCAATGTACTGGCCTGAAGAAAATGTTGAGATAGAAAATGTGTTTACATTCCTCATGCGCTCTTAATTAGCATCTTATTATAGAGAACATTTTAATTTCAAGTTCATATTTCATATAGGACTCATAAATACCATGAAATTATTTCATAGCTTGCCCTGAAAAAGTGAAAAGCAGTGGTTTTTGTTCTTTCTATTTAAATGATGAGTTAGTTTTTAATTGCAAACTTACAGGCATAGAAGAGCACCCATTTATTTCCTCAAAATTTTGTAGGTCAGAAGTCCAGCTCAACGTGACCAGGTTCTTTGTTTGGAAGATAACAAAGCTGAAATGAAACCATCTGGGTTCTGGGAAAAATCCAATTCTATGCTTATTCTTAGAATAGGCAGAATTTAACTCTTTGCTGTTGTAGGACATGGGCTGTTTCCTTACTTGCTATGAGTCAGGGCCATTCAGCTCACAGAGGCCACGCACACTCCTCATATGTGGCCCCCTTCACCATCACGGTCAGCAGCAATGAGTCAAATGCTTTCCATGCTTTGCATTTGGGAGTGTCATCTTTTGTGACCAAGCAACAAAAACTCTACTTTTAAAGGGTTCTACTGGTTAAATATGGTCTACATGGCTTACAATACTTATTTTAGGGTCAAATGATCTGGAAAGCTACACGTGAAAAATCCCTTTAGAACATTTCCTACACTACTCTTCGCTTGCTTGCATAACTGAGAGAAAATGTATGTGTGTGTGTGTGTGTGTGTGTGTGTGTGTGTACCGGAGATGGACTCATGGAATCTTCTAAAGTTCCCACTTATTACATATTACATGTAGTGTTGTAGAAAATGAAAATTTAATATCTTCTGCAACTATGTATCTAAACTAAATTGATAGTTCCCTATGTAACTCGCTAGTAACATATGATCCTTTTAAGTATCGAAGGTCGGGATTTCGCTTTGCTCTGTTTTTATTTATTCTACTTGTTTGCAAATTCAGTTACTTATTCTCTTGATTCCCAAAGCTAACGCTTATTGATTTTGTTTATCTTTTTAAAACTAACTATGGTTTATTCATTATTTCTGTTGTCTGTCTGTATCCTGTCTCATTGTTCCAGTTCTTTCTAATCTGTGCTATCTCATTCCTTCCACTCGCTTTGGGCTAATGGAATCTTTGTAATCTAGTTTACGTGCAAACTCAGACTATTGATTTGAAAATTTTTCTTTTCTCATATAGGTGTCTCAAAGCTATACATTTCTGTCTAATCACTGATTTAACTGAATCCAACAAATTCTACATTGTGCTTTCTTTTTCATTAAAATAATATTTTTTCCAGTACTGGAGATTAAAACCAGGGTATTTACACTGAATTTTTTTTTTTTTAATTTTAAGACAGAATCTCACTAAATCGCTAAATTTCCCAGGCTGAATTCAGATGTGTGATCCTCCTGTGTTAGCCTCCCAGACTGCTATGAATATCAGAATGTACTGCCACACCAGGCTTGCATGAAAATATTTTTAATTTACCTTGTGGTCAAGTCTTTGACTTATGAATTACTTAGAAATATGTATTTTTGCCAATTTTTTATACTTTTACTGATTTCTCTCTCTTTTTTTTTTTTTTTTTTTGTACTGGGGATGGAACTTGGGTCCTCACACTTGCAAGGCAGGTGGCAGAAATACTGATCTAAATCCCTGGCCCTACTGATTTCTAATTTGATTCAAGTAAGTTCACTTTAATTCATCTCTACTTCCTTTTTTTTTTTTTTCTGATGCTGAGGACCAAACCCAGTGCCTTGTAAATACTAGGCAACTGTTCTAAAGCTGAACTACATCCTCATCTTTTTTAAAAAAATTATTTTAAATTTATTAATATTTGACTTATGGCCCAGTATATAATGTCTTCTAAAGAATGTTCTTGGTAAAAGAATATGTAATCGATTCTTCTTGCATGAAGTGAGATGTAAGTCTGAGTTGTCAGTTTAGTCAGCAGTGTTCGTCAGATCTGCTTTATCCTTTCCAATTGTCTTTGCAGTGTTCCATTAGTTTTTCAGATTTAAGATGTAAATTTTTCAATGCTTATTATTTAATTACCTATTTTTCTTTCCAATTTGCTTTATTTTTGTCCTACTTATTTAGGTGCCATATTGCTAAGTGATACACATTCATAATTGTTATAGCTTCATGATATAGTGGCCCTTTTATCATTAGATAATTTTCCTTTTTATTGTTGGTAATATTCATAATGTTTATTTTGTCTGATATGAGAATAGCCAATCCAATTCGTTTATTGTTATTTATATATAGATTATTTTTGTCCTTTTTCTTTCTACCTATTTGTGTCTTTGGACATTTTCTGGGGCTCTTCTACAGAGGAGCAGAGAGTAGGACCTTGATTTATTTATCCAGCTTGACAATCTTTGTCATTAGATAAGAAAGCTGAGCCAATTTGTATTTAATGTTATTGTTGCTATAATTGAGTTTAAATTTGTCCTTTTATATTTTCTCATGTCCTTTTATTAATTTCCCTGTTCCTTGACATTTGATTTATTTTTTGCTAAGAAAAAATTTTAGTTTGACATGTCAATACATCTTGATATATTTGCTTTACTTTATCAGCAACTTACCTAACAGTGGCTTATCGCAAACTGTTCTTACTAACAGTAATTTAGAGGGCTGAGGATTTAGTTCAGTGGCACTGCACTTGCTTTGCAAGCGCAAGGTCCTCAATTCAATCCCCAGTACCTCGGAAAAAATAAAAGAAAAAAAATAGTAGTTTAGTTCTTATAAATTAGAGAAGATTTGTTGCAATATTACTTTATTTCTTCTCCCCTCCATTGTGTAGCAGCTTTTATATACATCTTTAAATGTTTTAAACCAACAAATTTTGCTTTATAAAATTATATTCCTTTAAAAGTTGAGAGAATGAAATAAAAACTATGTATCTCTATAGGTTTTCGTATTTACCACTTGCTATAATTTTCATGCTCTCAATGCATTTCAGTTGCATTCTAGTTTCATTTCCTTTCAGCCTAAATAACTTCCTTTAATATTTATGATGAGACAGCTCCACTGCTAACAAATTATTTCTGTCTATGTTTACCTTGGAAGGTCTTTATTGTGACTTCATTTATGAAGGACAAGTGTGCTGGAACTAGAATTCCCCATTAGCTGAGGGGCTTTTATTTTTTTCCTTTGCACACTGTATCATGCCACCCAGCAAAAAAGCCAGTAATTGTACTACCATTCCTTCTTCTTTAGCTGTGTTCAAGACTTTGTTTTTCAAAAGTTTGTGTGTGAAGCATGTATGTCTATGTACATCTTCTTGGAGACTCTCAAACCCCTTAGAACTACACGTTAATGCACTTCATCAAATTTTGAAAGTTGTTGACCATTGTTTCTCTTACCATTTTTCCGCCCCGCCTTCTCCTCCTCTTTTCCTGGTATTCTCATTCACAAACACTGGTACACTTAATGACTTACTCACTTTGACTCTGTTCATTTTTTGAGCATTTTTTCTTTCTCCTCTCTGAATTAGATCATGTTTATTGATCTCTCTACATCTTCATTGATTCTTCTAACATCTCCAATCTGTCACTGAGCCTCTCTAGTAAAGTTCTCATTTGAGTTACTCTACTATTCAAATGTAGATTTCCCACTTCTATAAAGATTTAACTCTGTAAGGCCTCTCATTATTGAACAAGTGCCATGAGACTGCCATCCAATTCTTTAAACTTTTTCTTTTAGTTATTTGAATATAACAGATCCCCTGCCATCCTTATCCTTAAATTCAAAATTTTGGTCAACTCATTGATGGTCTTTCATTGCTTCTTCTTTGTTTTCCTAATTATGGGTGCCACTTTCAATTTCTTTTCCTTTCTCATAAACTTTATTGGCAACTAGGCATTTTAATAATGTGTAGACTCGTTAGATTTTGAAATTTCTACCTTGATAGTCATAGTGGTTGCTCTTTTTAAAATTGCTTTCCTGGACTAAATGTGATGAATACATCTCACAATGTGTGACTACTAATGTTTATTCTCAGGATTTTAAACAATGTTTTCAATTTGTTTTAACTTTTAAGAATGTCTTCTTGTGGGCCACTGGATCTGCAGGGATTAAAAGCCAGGCTGGTATTGATCATAGACTACACTCAAACACTTAATATAAGAAAATATTTCACATACATTCCAAGGATCAGTTTGCTGTTTGAGGAGCACATTGAAAAGTTAGTTTTTAGTTGAATCCCAGGTTTTATTTTTTTTTTATTTTATTCCCAGTATCTTATTAGTTCTTCAGATTTAGGAAGTAAATTTCCGGGCCCTCTTGTGTCCTATCTGTGAATGCACACAGCCTCCTAGACTACCTGTTCTTTGTGAGAAGTCTGAGCTTTCTTGTCAGTCAGTCCCACGGATCAGTTTACAGAGATGTGCAGTTAGTCAGGGATGTGTAGAAAGCTTATCAAGCCCTCCTATAGCGATCTCATTTCCTAGACCTCGCTGTTAAATTCCATCTAGGTCACTTGTCTTTAGCTGACTGCAGCCAGGATGACGACCTCAGGCTAGCTGAGCTGTTGGCTTTCCCTGGTGACTTGCCAACAAGATCACTGCTTTCAGTGACAGCACCGCTGAGCAACAGGTTTGTCTCCTATTCCAAATCAAGAAAGCCACCATTAGTAATGAAACTTCCTGTTTTTCTGTCCTTCATCACCATGATAAAATTACAGTAACATTCAAAGTAGTAGGAGGAAAGTGAAGAGCTCTGAGAAAAAAAAAAAACCCAGATCCCTATTTTTCAAACCCGAAGTTCAGCAGTTCTTCATAAATTAACACTTCTTACCTGTATGTATTACCAAAGGGAACATTTCCAGAGTTATGAAATGGTTGTTTAGTTTTTAAAAGTCTGCCCAGTTCTATAGTTATTTTTCATTTTTTTGCTTCATTTTGTTTATGCAGTGCTGGGGATCGACCCCGGGGCCTCACTGCCTGCTAGGCAAGAGCTTTGCCACAGTTACAACCCAAGTGCTGTAGTTACCTTCCGAGATTCACTGACCTCTGCTGAATGTCACACTAAAAGTTCACCTGTGGCATGACTTTTGTTTTAAGGTCAGGGCTAAGATCAAGGGCTATCTTCTATCCCTGTTTTTAAAGTGAAGTACTGCTAGGTCTGCTATGTCTCTGGTTTGTCTTCAATTAAATGAGATTCTGAGAGGAAGCAATTTCCGGTTTCATTACCCAGTTAAATGAGAACAACTCAATGGCCAAAGCAAGTACCAATTAGCTAAATAAAAAGTTCAAGCTGTGAATTTATCTTCAGGGCAAACTGCGATGAAATGATTTGAAGGGCAGCTGTGGGAGGCAAAGTATGCAACCGGAACAACATGGACAGGTTGGCAGGCAGGCTGAAAGTGCCCACTTTGTTCTTCTCTTGCATATTATGGAAGTAAAGATAGGAAAATTAGAGCATATATGTATAATCATGTGTGTGATTTAGATCAATAACTAGAATATATTGAATCAATAATCTACTTGGTTTTAGCTTGGATTAAATGCAGGTCATTGATTTAATTTGAATAAGTTGCACAGATATGTAGATTTCATTTATGGAAGTGATCATGTGTAATCCTATTAACTGGGGATATAACATGTTTAAGATGCTGTCCTTAAGCATATCTGACATCCTTTTACCATAATAAAAATGATGCCTTGTAAAAAGGAAAGAAAATTATGTGATTATTAAGAAAATTAAATACTTATAATAATTCAGTCTTTATGAAATGGAAAACGATTAAAGCTGGGAGGGCTGGGCATTTAGCTCAGTGGCACCATGCCTGCCTTGCAAGCACAAGGTCCTGAGTTAGATCCCCGGTAACACCAAAAATAAATAAATAAATAAATAAATAAAAGTTAGGGACAAAAAGCAATTTTTAAAATCTTATTACTACCAAAAAATTACCAAAGATGGGGTGAAATTACATGCTCTTCCTGTATGATGGCAAAAGAATCAATTTCTACAGTCACTTTGGAGAGCAACTCAGATTTTCTGAAGTTTTTAAAGGCAATCATGCATTCCAATAATTCTGTTTCATCCAGCAAGACAGAGCATGTCAATAAAAATAAATGCACTACAGATAAATCTATGAAAGCAGATTAATAATAAGTGAAAAAGGCAAAGTAAAGAAAGATGTTTAGGATGTTAACATTTATATAATTTTAAATAAGAATTATTTTTTGTAAGTTAAAGTTTGGTATCATAAAATGCAGGAACATATGCAAAATTCATAATAAAGCCTAACTAACTCTGGGAAGGACCTAAGAAAAATATAGTACTGACAAGTTGAAAGTAGTTTTTATATCAGTCAAGAAAATTTTGTAAATTTGGAAATTCACAGAAAAATATAAAATAATACAACAATTGGCATAAATCTCCATGTATACTTGTTTCTAAAATATCTAACTTTTAAAAATGTAGTAATGTTGAAAACAAATGAAACTACACAGCAACCATTGCCCTTTGTCATACCAGTTCAAATTATTAACTAATAATACCAATTAATAGATTTTTGACTTACTGCCTTAAAGTCTATGAGCAGATATTCAAAAAGTTCATGTATACCACTTCCATCGCATTTTATATTAACATATATTTTATATTTTACCATGTAACTATTTAGGGCACTCCATATTACACAAAAGGCATTTTCAGAAAGAGCCAGTTCTTACAAAGTATGATTCATTTCACCTTAAAAAGAAACATGCCTTCACAAGCCTTTAGCAGGTTACAGGTTTCTCTTATTTCTCCAATATTGCTAAATAAAATACTGCCCTACAACTAGTGCCCTCTCTGGCACAGTGTGCTTCTAAAGGCCATCTCTCATCAAGGTCCACCTTTCCTAGGTCATCTCTATTCCTTCCCGGTGTTGTAACCTGAAAAACAAAATTCAAAAGTTGAAAAGGCAATTTAAACACTTTGGATAGGTTAAATAATAGCTTTTTACATCTTAAGAATGGTTGTTTTAAGTGATGTGTGTAGGAGTTGAGAGGCTTCTGTTAAACTCTGGATTTCTAATTTAAGAACCTGAGCAAATCTGGGAATTTGTATTTAGAATAGGGATGCACATCTAACAAAATATTTAGGACAGCATTTATAACTAAGCTACTTCAATTCTTCAGTGGAAAAAAACAGGAGAGAAATATACAAATGTAATGAATATAAAATTATAGGGTTACACTGGCATGCTTGTAATAGAAGAAAGAGAAATTACAAGTAAATGGACAATGTGATCTATAATATTGACTGTCACTTAAATAATTACTTTTATATTCTTTAGCCACTTATTCCACCTCTATTAGAAGACACTTCTCATGTTACTGTTAATATGAACCACTTCCTTTCACATATCCAGAAACATTTTCTTCTCTCCTATCTCAAATAATAGATGAAGAAGTCATATTCAAATTTTCATAAAAATTCTCAACCTGACCAAGTATAGCAGTCAGAATCTTCTGGCACAATTTACAAAAGACTGTAATCCATCGCCACCTTGCAGACTAATTATAATCTGTATGGGTGGTGTTGTTTCTTTTAGGCTCACTTAGTTGCACGGCAGAAGCATTTGCTACATACTGTCTAGCCAGGTGCTCCCCCACATGTCAGAGCCCACCTGCAGTTTGGCAGTGCTCCTGGAGGAGCTCTGGCCAAGAGACTGGGGGTTGGGATATGAGTCCATTCCAGACTGAAGCATTTAAAAACTAATGTACAACTCTTCTTCTTTCCCTTTTCTTTTGTGGGAACAGTGGAACCCATTTGTCGAGATGGCAAAGCCAGAAAACTAAAACAGCTTTGATCTCTTCATCTACCCTTCGAAGGTTTCCTAATTGAAGACTCTATGTTACGTTTTATGTGTTAAATTGCAAGAATTTCAGGTTTGATGTCTTAGCAGAACTAGTCTCGAAGTGTAGAAACAAACCCAAACTGGCAGAAATAGAAGAGGATTTGTACTCAGGACATAAATAGATTGAAATTAGAAGTGGAAATCATTAGCCCTTGAAAGAAAACTATTTCCAAATCAGTTTTTTTTTCACTACATTTATTTCAAGACCCATATAGAAAACTCTGAAATGCTGTAATTGGCCTATTTCCACAAATTTAGCTGTCATTTCCATATACTTTATGGTCATTGATATATAAGCATAATAAGCAGACTGTACTCCTTGGTTACTCTGTACCAGTACTTGAAGGAGTTTATAATGGCCCACTGCTGAGAAAAGGAATAACAAGAGGGAATGGGCAATTTCAAAGTAGAAAAGAAAAATGCATGCCAAGATAATGCCACTCTTCACATAAATTCTAATCCAGTTTTTCTGTGACAAATTCATTTACACATTCCAGATTTAGAGTGAAGATATCTACTCTTCTAACGATAGGTCATCCTCAAAGGTCCTCAGCCAGAAACTAGAAGGTTCAAAATGTGATATCAAAAAATACTTTAACAGTCTCAGTCTCCTGCTCTTCTGCATTTACATGTGGATTGGTAATTGGTAAGATTAAATGTGGTTCAGAAATAATTTGGGAAAAAATAAAGGGTAGAAAACCAAGTAGTATATTAGAGTAAGTTTTTCTTATTTATTATTTGCCTTACAAAACTACAAAAAGACGTGTTTTAATGTTTCTATAATCATTTAAGAACAACTAACATTAAAAATAAGTATATCCTAGACTGGCGATTTAACTCAGTGGTGCCATCACCTGCCTTGCAAGCTCAAGGTCCTGAGTTCAAACCCTGGTACCAAAAGAAAAATTAAAAGAAGTATGTCCACTAACATCAAACATGAAGTTTGTGTTGAGGTCTGTATCTGAAAATAGCTATTCAACAGTTTTCTGTCTTACACGGTTCCCTGATATAAATCCTACCTATAGATGTTTTAGAATTCAATAAATATTTTAAAACAAGTGAAGCTTTCTTTTAGATTTCCAAATTGTTGTCCTGTGTGATCTGTTACATTTCATTTTGACTCAGACCAAAATTTTCCAAATAGAATCACATGGATTTTCTTTTTTCTAATTTATACATTTTGAGCATTTTGAATAAAAGAAGATAGAAAGGGCCTGGGGATTTAGCTCAGTGGTACCGCACCTGTCTTGCAAACACAAGGTCCTGACTTCTACCCCAGTATCAAAAACACAGAAAACAAGAGAGAAAAATGAAACAACAATTAGAGTTTAAAACATACTCTTTTTGATGAAAAAGGAAATTAAAAAATGGAAAGACATCCCTTGTTCCTGGGTAGGAAGAACAAATATAGTCAAAATGGCAATAATTTCAAAACTGTTAAACAAATTCAATGCAATCCCAATCGAAATCCCAACAGTATATTTCCCAGAACTAGAAAAAAGAATCCAGAAATTCATTTGGAACCAGAAGAGACCTAGAATAGCAAAAGCCATTCTGGGGCACAGAGACATGGCAGGGTGTACCACAGTCCCCAATTTGAAACTACAGTACAAAGCCACTGTGATAAGAGCAGCATGGTACTGGCAAATAAACAGACCTGAGGATCAGTGGAATAGATTAGAAGATACAGAAACAACTCCAGACATGCTCAGCTACCTCATTTTTGACAAAGGGGCCAACCATTGTCACTAGAGAAGAGATAGTCTCTTTAATAAATGGAGCTGGAAAAACTGGATTTCAACCTGCCAAAAATTAAAACTAGACCCTTATCTTTCACCATGCACTAAACTAAAATGCAAGTGGATTAAAGATATAAATATTACAACAGAAACACTAAACTTTTTAAATAAGTCAGGTAGAACTCTTCAAGACAATGGCATAGGAAAACATTTATGAGCAAATCCTCAGTAGCATGGGAAATAGCACAAAGAATCAACAATTGGGATCTCATCTTATTAAAAAGCTTTTGCACTGCAAGAGAAACCACCAACAGAGCTAACAGACAACCTACAATGTGGGAAGAAAATTTTTACCAGCTGTTCCTCAGACAAATGTCTACTATCCAGAATATATAATGAACTCAAGAAAATTAGACCCCCCAATTTAAAAACCCAACTAAAAAATGGGCATTTGCAATGAACATACATTTCTCAAACAAAGAAGTAAAAGCAGCAGATAAACATGAAAAGATGTTCAACATCACTGGTCATTTGAGAGATACAAATGAAAACAATACTGAGATTCCACCTCACCCCACAAAGAATGGCTGCTATGAAGAATTCAACTAATAGCAAATGTTGGTGAAAGGAACCCTTCTCCATTATTGGTGGGGGTGCAGACTTGTGCTACCACTGTGGAAATCAATATGAAAATACCTCAAACAACTAGAAGTAAAAGTTCCATTTGACCCAGCTATTCCCCTGCTGGGTATCTGGCCAAAAGAATTAAAAGAATCATATCACAGTGGTATATGCTCACCCATATTTAGAGCAGCACAGTTTGTAATAGCTAAAGCTTGGAAACAGCCTAATTGCCCATCAACTGGAGACTGGATAAAAGAGATTTTTTTTTTAATAAAATGGAGTACTACTCAGCCATAGTGAAGAAAAAACTAGAGACATTTATAACTAAGTGGATGCACATTGAGTGAAATTAATAGGACACACATATGTAAATACTGAATAGTTCCTCTGATGTGATAAACTAAAAGTATAAATAAGAATCAAAATGTATAATTTATATTGTGTGATAGGAAAAAAGGTCTAAAGGTGTAGGGGAAGTGGGGAGTAGGGGAAAGGTATTTGGGCAAAAGAAAAAATAAGAGAAAAGAAAGAAATGGAAAAAAAGTCTTTGTAAATAGGGAAGGGTAGAGGGGGTGAAAGGAGGCCAGGGGAATGGTGAAAAAATAAGAACCAAGATACATCATGTAAAGGTAAAAGATCCCAATGATGAATGTAATTGTATTGTTAAAATGTACCAATAAAGAAAAAAAAAGAACATACTCTTTTCAATTACTAAATTGTGCTCCAAAAATTTGAGAATGATTGTCAATCTATTGAGTGACAAAGTTCATGTATTTTTATTAACAATGCTCATGTTGATTATTTTTAATTTATTTCAATAAAATTATATCATAAATATTTTGAGAATTTTAATATGTAGTCATCAGAAAGAAGATATTTCCTTGTATGGTAAAAATCACTCTAAAGACTAGTCATACTTGTCCTTTTAGCAAGGACAAAATGCATACAATCAATAGGATATGTTGAAATAAAAAGATCTTTGAGATTTCTGCCAAGCTCAATTCTACAAACTGAGTTTGCTGATATGAAGAAGGCAATACAAAAATCACAATTCATATAGTTAACATTCTTCACTATTTTGGCTTTCACTACTAGTACCATTAATTAACACTCTACTACAATCCTCCACTTCTGGGTCTCACTGTCCCAAGCCAGGTCCTAATCCCACTGCTTTTCAACCCTGATCTGCAATGACTGTTTCTGCAAATACCACTCGTAATGCTTACTGTTAGCTACAAAGACTTAGGATTCTTCCAAACGTTCTGTAAGAAGATATTTTCTGTTAAGTAGAATATTTCTTACAATACATGGAGGCATAGCATTATCTTTCCATTGGCACCAAAACTGACAACATCATCCTTTCAGAGTGATGTTTTCCTCTACTGATGAAGCGTCATCATATTCACAAGAAATTGAACAAGGACAAATTCAAGTGCTACCATTTTGTCAAGCTCTCTGCTCTTCTTATCAACACCAATACCTAGAAGAAACCCTGTCCTCCAGGAGCTCTCTTGTTAAATGATGAACAGATTGCATCTTATTCATTGCCTTCCTGGTCAAGAAAGTAGGTATAGATCAAGCTTCCTCCAGCATAAAACCATGTTTTCCTTTCTCCCATATAATAATTTGGCCTGCCATGCTTCTAAAGAAGTCCTTACAATGCCCTCAT